CATTTAACCAATAAAAATTAATTTTGTTAGTGTAATTTATTGTATTTAGTTTGTTTCAGCAATATTAAATAATATTTTGACTTAAATAAAGCCACTACTGTTGTTGGGTTGGTTGCGTGAAGCCAAAAGAGACCCCTCCTTTATTATTCTCTGGTCTCTGCATATTGCTTGGGTCCCGCCATTAATGAAAGTCATAAATGAGATTTTGATTGCTCAGTTTTGTTGTCCAACACATGACATTAATCAGTCTAACAACTTACAAAACACGCAGGACCACTGTCCAAATTTTCTTCAGTTTTCTGACAACTGTCACAAATCTACTTAACAAGCTGCATTGATGCATCAGTCTTGCCTGTGGAACAAGCGGACTGGGATGATTTATAGGGCTTAGGTTTAAAACTTAGGGTTAGGTGGTTTTTCAAATCTTCAAAGGGATAGTTCACTTTGAAATTAATTTTTGGTATGTTTTAGCTTACTATTTTTAATTTTGATCTATTTAGATCAAACCGTTCTTGTCTGTCAGTCATATAATGCAGGTCTATGGTCACCACCTCAAAGAGCATGCACAGAGAAGTCCAAATTAGACTTGATTTAATGACTCGTAAATGTAAGTACACATTGATGGCCTAAGACACGAAATGAGTGGTTTGTGTGAGAAAACGAACAGTATTTACTGTATATCGTTTTTATATAACTATTTTATATTAGTGTCAATAAAACCACAGCCACGTCCAAGTGATCTGAGGGTGCGGACATTTGTTTTCTCACACAAACCGCTCGTTTTGTGTCTTAGGCCGTCTTCTTACTGTACATTTACGAGTCATTAAATCATGTTTAATGTGGACTTCTCTCTGCATGCTCTTTGAGGTGGTGACCATAGACCTCCATTATATGAGTGATAGACACGAACAGTTTGACCTAAAAATATCAAAATTGAAAATACTGTGGAAACAAAGACACCTACATCTTGGATGCCCTTGAGGTAAGCTAAAACATACTAAAAACGTATTTCAAAGTGAACTATCCCAAGCAGTAATTAGGCCTACATTCATACAGTCATAACCAGAATCTACTCTTCAAAGTTGTGTTACTTAATGTCAGTTCTGATTCATGGATGTACATAAACACTTTGACAAATAGCGGTCTTTATTAGTGTAAGCATTATTTACTGTTAATGATTTGAACAAAACCCTGACACACTATGAATTAAACTGACTGGTCCCACACTGCTATGGATCAAGACATGGTTGAAATCATTCAGTTTGCTGAGGAGAGCTCTACTGGTCATTTTATTTTATTTTATTAATTTAGCTAATATAGATTTCCCCAGGTGGATAATAACACTATATAACCAATTCCCAAAAAGTTTGTGAAAGGCAATAAAATTAAGTATCCAGTATTTTCATTGGCCAAATGAATTGTATATTGTACTGTAAATATGAAAATAAAATGGCTGCAACACACTCCAAAAAATTGAGAAAAAGGCAAAATAAAAGTGAAAAGATTACAGAATATCCAAGTTAAAATGTTTTGAAACAGTCCACAATTAGCAGGTGAATTGGTGAGGGTCGTGATTAAGGATAAAATGAACATCCACCAAAGGCTCAGCCTTTGCAATCAAAGATGGGTAATGGCTCACCATGTGCAAAATTTCATGAGAGAATTATCAAACAATTTAAAAAAAATCACATTTCTGAATGAAAGATTGTTCTTTAGGTCTTTCACCATTTACGATACATTGTGAAAAGATTCAGGGAATCCAGAGAAATCTCTGTCTCGAGGCAGGAAACCTCTATTGTATGTCTGTGTGATCTTCATGCCCTCATAGGGGATTGCATGAGAATCTATCATGCTACTGTGTTAAATTTACACTCTTAAGAAAAAGGCTCCTAAACAGTACCAAATTAGGGTTCTTCGGCTTGTAACATAGCAGAACCCTTTTTACAAGGTTCCATAAAGAACCATGCTTTAAACAAATGCTAGGATCTTAATGGTGTTATAAATTACCTTTTCAGCAATATTTATTTTCATTAATATTAGTTTGTTTGTACTAACATTTATATTATTAATATTACTATTATTTTTATATATTATTTTATTTATTAATAATGTTTTTAGCCATAGTCTAAAAGTTATAAAAAGATTATTTATAGGTTCTTGAAGGACCCTTTATGCTGAAATTGTTCTTTGTGTTAGAGTTTAGGGTTCTTTATTACCGCCTTTTTGTTTTTCAAATCTGTAACTGTCATAGCCTCCGTACTAAATCGTACGACCTCACTCGTACGAATTAGTACAATTTTGCTAAATTTGGCCAATTTGTATGAATTCGTACGAATGACCTACCGCTTATCCGGCCCCTAAACCTAACCATCACGTGGGTTTAGACAAATCGTACAAATTCGTACGAGTGAGGTCGTACTGATTAGTACGAATTAGACACTTTTTAATCATGCGTCGAATTCGTACGAATTGGTCATGAGATAGCGTAGTTACTACACATATTGTCTCTCTCAACAGGTAAAATATTTCTTCCTTAGAATGTCTATAAATAGCCTTACTTTAAAAATTGTAACAATCATTTTTTTATCTTTTTAATTCAACAGAACATGTAAGTGTGAGCAGCTCTGTTCAGTTCTGTTCAAGGATACTCATCTTCTCCACAAAGTAAGTAACAGAGATGTCATTTATGATGCATATTGTTTGATTTTCTTTTTATTATGACTTTATGCCTAAATAGCCAGTCACAAAAAAACATTAAAGCTATACCATGACTTTGTCACTTTTTCCCTTGAACATAGTAAAGGGATTCTGTCCATTTTTTTACATTTTGGCGCAAATGGAAGTGACACAATGTAACTCTAAACTCAATTGTTTATTTCAGATGCTGTCACTCATGTACCATAACCATATCATCTGCAAGAGAAAAACTGCCCACTCAGAATATACACATGAAGGACGTAAAGACAGGGGATTGTGAAAATATTTCACTAGAACTTGGTCTTCACTGAAGAGGGCTAAAAGAAAACAATATTAATAAATAATTTATAAAAAAAAAAATATGAATCATATATTAATATGAAGATACTAAAATACTAATATTAATTAAAATAATTATTACTGAAAAGGTTATTTATAACACCATTAAGGTCCTATAGCACTTTTAAAGCATGATTCTTTGGGACCTTTTAAAAAGGGTTCTATTTAGCACCAAAAAGGGATCTGAGCCGAAGAACCCTAATTTGGCACTGTTTAGAGCCATTGTCCAGTCATACATGATGTAACAGAAAGTTTTTAGTAAATATGGGTAATTTCTCCTCCTCCATGGCACCTGTGGCATTCCACAGGGCTCTATTTTGGGTCCTTCTCTCCCTCTCGCTCTACATACCTCTGGGCTCTATTCTAAGGAAACATGGTTTGTCTTATAATTTTTATGCGGATGACAATCAAATTTGTAGCAATCAAAATAAACAACACTGCGACTACATCTCTTCTGCGATGCTTAGAGGAGGCTAAATCATAGCTAGCCCAACAATTCCTCTTCCTAAATGAAGACAACGCTGAGGTTATTGTGCTGGGTCCATTTCAGTCCATTTTAAAATCCTCAAGGTTGCGGAGGTTCTTGTTGATAGCCTTTAAAATCCTCCGAAATCAGATCCTTATCAACTTTGTCTATTGTCTAAACAAAGGCTATCTAACCCCGAAAACTCTAGGATTGGCTGTTCATGCGGGTTTTTTTTTTTTTTTTTTTTTTTTTTTACGTCTCGGCTAGATTACTGCAATTCTTTGGTAGCTATGACAGAAATAAACAACTGAGTTTAGAGTTATTGTGTCACTTCCATTTGGTTATGTAAAAACAGTAGCACATCGTACATCACTTCAACACAAAAATCTTTTGCACACACAGTCTTGTACACACACACTCATGCACACACATGCACATATATGGACACTTATTCCTGTTACCCAATGTTCATTCACTATTTTTTTTTTCTAAAAAAAAATGTTAGAACGCTGTTTTTATCAATTTTGTTTGGTCCATCATTTATACAATTGTTTAATAAATTTAAAAAAAAAACTTGAAAAAAATATGAACTTGAGGTCTTCTTTAAAATGAAAAAAAAAATTACATAGTGTTTTTTTATTATTAAAATACACCTTGTCTTACAGTAATGTTGATTTTTTTTTTGTCACAAATCAATTATTTGAACATATAACCAACAACTTGTTTAAAATAAACACTTTCTTGTGGGGAAAACAAAGAAAACATTTTTTTTTTTAAATATCACATGAGTTTCGGTAACAGGACTGAGAAAACATGCGTCCATTTTAAATAAACTTGCCTGAGATTGACCAATTTGAATAGTGTTAAATTCAGTGTTGAAAAAAAGTTAATTTTGAAGAGTTACAACAAGCAAATGTAACCCATTCGGTGGATTGGGTTAACTGTCCCCAACAAAGTCTCATGAAAGTGCGTATCTATACCACAAATATCATTTCTCGTGCCATAATCGCCAAAAATGGTTTTGCGTGCATATGCTACGGACTGAAAACCCCTTGGGTATGGGTTTGGGGGGTGCGTGCGTATTGCACGCCATAAAGTGCGCATCATATGCACGCGAACACGTACCATATGACGCAAAAACTATTTTTGGCCTATAAATCGCACGAGAAATATGCACTTAAGATGTTTATTTCTTGTACTTAATTCTGTTGAATTCAGTTGTTTATGCCATATCATAAGTGTTTCTTTACTTGATATTGAAGAAAATAATGTTTGGAGGAAATATTTGAGTCACCTCTGTGTATCTCGTCATAACAGATGCTAAATTGACTGATTGTTGACCGATCAGGGCTTATGTGTGCCTTAATAACGATTCACGTGTTCAACATTTTTGTCATGTTTGTTATGTTCAACGTCCAGTTGCTTTATTCCATTTTGAAGAGAGAGAGAAAAAAACAAGATTTCAAGAATTTCAAAGCAAAATGATTTTATTCTTCAGTTGCTTCACAATGCTTAACATTTTCGTGATCATGTTTCCTTCAGCGACATTCATTTTGCCAATAGTAATTAACACACAGTGTTTACAACTTCTTTGCACAGAAACGAAATAAAGTCAATCGTGCAAACCTCATAAATACATTTTAACCCTTGGGGTTTACAATTTTGTTGTTTACAACGCATAATATTTAAACCCCAACGAGGATTGCATAACGTTATGCTCATAGAATATGATCTGTGCTCGCTGGCTCTCTTTTATTTACAAAGTAGCCATATTTTAGGTAATAAATACTTAAAATCCTTACATGTAATCTCAATAACAGGCGTTTACATTTTTCAAGCTTATTACGACAAATAAATAATATACAAAGTTTATGAAGCCTCCAGTCGCGTGTCTGGTCACCACGGTCTCCACATGTCCACAGCCGCCTGTGGCGCAGGCTGAGCTTGGCTGGGTGCTGACGCGTTACCGGTGGAGTGGTTCTCCATCGTAGAGCTGTTGTTCCTCATGCTCACAAGTCTCTGGTGCATTTGGGAAATCATTCTGGAGTTCTGACCACAGCAGTTCTCGCAGGACGATGACGCAGACACCATCGAGTGCTGAATGAACTCGTTGACGCGCTGAGAGGTTTCTGTTCCAAGGTTAGACTGAGGCAGCATCACAGAGATGCGCTGCAAACAGGCTTTATAACCCTCTTTATAGCTGTCTGTTTGACCTTTAGGGGAAAAAATAAAATCATTACATATACTGCATGGGCCCATTTGAAATAACGCAGATTCCAATTAAATGTTGAGAACGGTGTAAACAAAAGTAGCCTAAATCACTCACCTTTAGCTGATGAGGAAGGCAGATCTTTGAGGAACCGGACAGTCATTTCGAGAATGTCAGCTTTCTCCAGCTTTGAATAACGTGAAGCCTACAAATTGGAAATGATTTGACACATTAGGATATCGTTCAGACACTGACGCACATCACTTGGATGTATGGCAAGTAGGTAATACATACAAGCTCCAAAGTTAAAATACTTACGTCTTTGCCGACCAGAGGGAGTATTAGTGTTTTCAAATGATTGAGGCTCTCGTTAATGCGAGCCCGCCTTCTCTTTTCCATCAATGGCTTGAGAGTCTGAAAAAAGAAAGAAATCGGTTAACGTAAACGTGAGTTTTTAGTGACTACAAGGTCTATTAAAATGGTTCAGGGGTGTCATTAGAAGGAACTCAAAATCGTCCTCACCTTTCTCAATTCATGTGCCTCTTTTCTCTGAGCTACAGTCATTCGAGTAGCGATTGAGTGGGAATGAGCTTCGGTAATAATGTTTGGAGTCATGATTTGATCTGTTGGTGTCTCTAAGAGAGAGGAGTCGAGTTTTGTGGTCAGGGTGGGCGAGAGGGGTCTTTTATAGGGCTCTTTGGCGTGGAGGGAGGGCTTCAAATCCATTGTGGCTTCGGTTTGACGCAGAGGGGGATGCTGGATGCCATAGGGAGATCTGATCTGACTGTCCCGAAAGTTACCATCTGTTGATTGATGTTTGCTTCATCTAAACCACTGGTATTCGCATGTCATTGATGACAATTTTCATCGTTTCATAGATCTCCGCATTGATGCATGCATGTGCTTATAAACCATAAAAGCCAAATTCGGATGCAATTCACAATAAAACGTGGAGATTAAAACAAAAAATACAAGTTGGTTTTCTATATCTCATTCTGGTTTAATGTTTACAGCAAAACACAATAGCCTACAATATACATTAAAAGTTTTGGTTTAAGCTACTCTCATTTTGACTTTGCATTGGTTTATTAAAATGTGCGCTGCAAGATTTGTTTCACAAAGAAATCCTCCAGGTATTGGCCTATACTGATAAATAATACAGGGCATGATGCACGCAATAATTAACCAAGCCACGCTATTGACATCTGCTTACGTTCGGACCGTGTTGGACAACCTATAAGTTCGTATTACTTATAATGTCATAACACGTTGGCAAGTACGTAGACTAAGTCAATATTGAGCTAATTCAAGAGGGGGTGGTTTGCAATACAACATAAAAATCACAAATAGCCTTCATAAAAAGGAAAATTATATTTATAGATATCAAAATGTTGGGCCTATGGGTTTATAAATAAGGTTTTATTCATGTTATTGAGCAGCTTGCATGTCCAGTAAAACATTTCTTTCTGGTTTATTTTTTCAGTGGCCACACATTTTAGCTGTTGAGGGGGTTGTTTTAAAGGCATAACTTCATATTTCAAATCAGTGGTGATCTCACGCGTCTGACACGCGCCGTTACTATGTAACAGATGGATGTCTGTTCCTCCAATCCTAACAAAGCGCGCCACTAGTTTGAATCCCAACTCCCTTGAGTAAAGACTGCCTAACTCTTTAGTTACCTGTCTGCTATATTACTACCCTATCACGTTGCTGCATTTATGGCGTGTCTTTTCTATCAATTGGCGTCTGTGTCTGAGCCATATGACCGAATATGATAATAAAGCTTAAAGAGAAGTACCCCCCCCCCCCTTTTTTTCTTCTCCTTTTTTTCTTTGTTGGGGGCTGAAGGAAGTATGGAATAGGGTGACACGCATACAAAGTTAAAATTATATAGACCTACCACCATCAAAAATATATCTCGACAGCTTTTGCCTTTTTTGGTGTGTTGTCTGCAGTCAAACTGATTGGTGAAACAGTCTAGAACAATCTCGTAGCCTACATGTCTTTATTTTTATTGCTTTTATTTATTGGCTACACATTGTGAGGGTGATAAGAGCAAAAGCTGTTATTTGTGCGTTGAAGACCTTTTGAATGTTCCATCAGAGGCAGGCACGCGTCACTGTCTCCAAGAGCGCATCAATTAACCTTCATGTTGTTGGCTTGTACTGGTGTTGTCCGTTTGAGTCGTCTTTAAAGCTGAATAAATTGAATAAACAGGCCGTATAGCCTAGAGTAAACACTTCAGCAGCAGATCGAGTATTTTTTTTAATGCGGGGCAGTCAAATTCAATAATTAATAGCAGAATTTTCAAATATTTGTTCCTAAAATCACTGGTTAGCCAAATTACCATTTTTCATTTAGGCTGTTTAAATGCATCAAGAGCCATAGAGATGGTCACACTTTGTTGATGTTTTTTTAAAGACAAATTTTAGTGCTTATAAAAGCGTTATTTATATTTTTGCGCCATCTCCTAAATCAGCCTGCGTTAAATGCGTCTCTATGGCACGCATTGTGTTTTATCGTGCAATTTATACGCGAAAATGAGTTTTTACGTGCATATGATACGCAGTTTTATGCGTATAGAAAGTAACATATTTAGAAATATTCATAAGGAAGATTTAAACCATTTTTTTATGAATAGCTGAAAAAATATGATGGTGATTTGAAATCATATAGCTCAGATGATTGCGGTCTCATTTATGTATACAATCTTAAATCCATAGAATTAAGTTCATAAACAGGTGAAGATAGATATTTCATCAAAAACCCAAGTAGCCTAATAATAAATAATGATGTTTAATAATAAAATTCAAATAATCAAAATGATCCGTAGATAAACATGTTAGAAAATGTAAAAGTAGCTAAAAAACATTACAAAATCAACGTAATAAAGCTTTATATTCGGGAACATGCTGTGGATTAAATCATATATTATTTATTTCACTTGAAAAACAAGCAAACGCTGCAGAGCGACATAAAAAACAAAGCCCAAATAAAGTATGCTTCCCAAGCCAAAACCAACGCTGTCTGCAACCAGCTGTTGACACGCAATATTGCATAGACTTACTAGCAATCACTACATCATTTGTGTTGTTTGGAACCTAAAACCAAAGAAGTTCGTGTGGATCGGATGAGCAGACATGTGGTGTTTCGTAAAGCTGCGCGTCTCTCTCAGCATCACGCTGACAATCCAGACCAATATTTGTTTGCGCGTGCGTCGTTTTCATATTGCATGCAAAAAAAATAAATAAATAACTAAATAGGCTATTAGAAAATTGTTAAAATCACTTGTGAGTCATTTTAAATGTAGGCTAATGGAGCAATTGAGCAAGAGTCATTGAGATCGCACAGGTTTATTTCCTCTTAAATCATGGACAAATATTAATGATCGACGTTATGTTTATGAGTTTATTGAATACAATCTTAATGCACTCTGGTTCAAATAGCCTTCTTCGTACTTCTTACGACCCAGCTTGTACAAGTAGAATGTGCCACATTGACAACCCAAACAATTTACCAAAACTAATAAACAGTCTGAAATGTATTCATCAATGTTTGCGATCATCAGAACCCAGACGAAAGCTGAAAGATGAACATGCGCATCCATCAGCAAAACAATTAGGGTATTCGGTGAATATCAACCCAAATATCGCAAAACCCATCAATAACATCTAGCAAACAACATCAAGTCTTAATTCAAACCCCAAGCCAAAAACCAAGCCAAATGAATGCACATCTGGTGATGTAACTTTTCAAACAAAGACTTGTTTTCCCCATACCGATTCGCCCATATAGTGCACGATTTTGTGACGTAGAAGTAAAAAGCTTCCCCATTGTAATACTTTGAGTGAGAACTACATCAGCACATAGCCTACAGCGCGGTAGATGTGAGGAGCGTGTTTTTCCTCAGCCCAAAAGAAAAAGACCAGGGAAAAACAACGAAAAGGCGCGTTTTCCTTGTAAATGTGCGCATAGGGCTCTTGGGTCCCCGCTCGCGCTAGGCACGAGAATGGCACGAGCCATGGGGACAAAAGGCCAGATGGCTGTGCAATTATAATGAATTATAGATGGGCTACGAAAGGGCTGGTTTGTTATCAATTTACATTATGTGTACAATTTTATTATTTCATTTTTGATAGTAGTGGCACATCACCTATATGTAAGCTGTCTATAGTGCCATTATACGAATAGCTGCTAAAAGTGTACATAGTGTTTGCGTAAAGTATCGAATTGTCCAGTTTTCGCGCTAGACACTACACGGGTTTGATAGCATGGCGACCTCAGAAAGGGCGGACACCCTCCACGCCCACAAAGCGGGTGCCTTCTCTTCATTTGCGAGCTGGCTCTCGGTGTAAGTGGGCGCGTAATACAAGCACGCGATTGAGCTTTAACACGCTTCCATCCAGAGGCTTCCGCAAAACCTGCAATAATGTGCTCGCGTTTGAAAGCAGGTAGGTAACAGTGTGGGTAAGTGGTTCTTTTTTTTTCCAAAGCAATGTTTAGTTGATATGAAAGACATCCTGCGTCTATTTGTGTTAATTGAAAGATTAGTTAACTGTAAAATGCTCTGTCAGTAATATAGACGCGTAATATCTTAAATGAACTGATTTTAGTAAAATAATAATAGTCTAAAGGATACTTTGACTTGAGTTTCGTTGATGTAATATTTTCAGAAGCTGTAGGCATATTCATTTAAGAGTCAGGTAATTTTTTACCTTGATGTAACAACTGAATGTTTTCCTATACAAATAGGGTACTAAAATAGCTTCTTATTTCGACAATGAAGCCGTAATGACCAACCATGTCTCATTACTATACTGTACACGTTAATGTAAACCTTTAAAGTATACGGAGAGATTTCAATGATCAATGTAATGTCAAATCTTACGCAAAACTTAGAATCTCTTTTTAATTCATATAAAATCAGATCTTGTGTGACATTTTTCTTGTGAGATTATGGCATTCATATCGCAATCAATCTAAAAAGTATTTAAATTGACCTTTATTCTTTACATTGAAAACATTCGACCGTCACGTTCCACTCTGATCAAATTGAATATTATGATGATTGAACAGTGTTGTATATGCAAATGTTATCAGGATCATTCATGCATATTATAATATCATTACATTATTAAATATCATAATAAAAATGACGCTCAAACAGTGATTTGGTTTTTGAAAAAAATGTAATTTGATTTTAAACTGTAAATAAGATAAATGATCCTAAATATCAGATTAAACGTTTCGCAAAAATAACTTGCTATCTATTCGAAATGCATTACCATAAAACTCGTCAGCTATTGATGACGTTTAAAAAATCTACATGCAATTGCCAGCAGTTTGATGTTTTAACTGAATCTTTGGATTTCAATTAAATGTTCACACAGCACAATTCATCTTTTTTACTGTAGAGTTCTATATGCAGTGTTCCAGATAACACAGAATTAGAATTACTTAGTACCGTTATTACGCGTACTTTTCATCCAATACTACACAAATGTATACAGTAAAGCACACAGATGGACATTGAATGATTGATTGCAGACAATTGTTTAAATGAAATTCAGTGATAGTGGCAATGTTACATCTATGGGGTAATGTTCAAATGCATTTACAGGTTTGGGTACGTTTGGGTAGAAT